AGACAAGTTTAAGACAGGAACTCATTTTGTCAGTCCAGACAGGTCTGAAACTCACTTTGCAGCTCAGGCTGATTTGGACTCACAGTGATCCTCCTGCTTCAGCCTCCCAAGTACTGGATTATGGGCATGAGCCACTATGCCTGGGTATTGCATGAATATAATATAATGATATTATAATATAATTTCACATTATAATCACATTTTCCCTTGGGTTAATTAATTTTCAAATTTTTAACCATGACAGTTTCAGGTGGTTAAATTTTTTATGACTATATGCAAGTATTTATGATTTATCATTTCCATTCCATATTTGATTACTATGCTAACTCCTTTAAGTTTGAGAACCTTGTAATTCGTGCTTAGCTGATTTACGTTTTCCCTAAAGGCCGAGTTCATGATGACAACTGTAACAGTGACCACAGAAGTTCCCTCAAGAGGAAAGCGAGAAGAAGATTCTGCCTCCTATGTGTCTCCGTCAGCTCAGGTTATTGAAGAAACAGAGTATGTGAAGGAGGTATGAGGGCATCCAGATCATTTGCATGGCAGGAGTGCTTTACGATAAGTGCCAGTGTGGGTTGGTGGGCTTTTGTTTCCTTCCCTGTGGAGCATTTGAAAAGGAACAAACCTCCTTTGGCTTAAGATAGGCAGATAGTTTAAATTTAAGGATGGCTAGTCAATTTTTCTTCAGAATGTAAACTTGATCCTACATGTGAAGTAAAATGATTTTCTCCACTCAGTAAAATTGAATAATGGGCTGGGAGGGTTCAGAACACCTATCAGCATTTAATTTGCCCCACACCATTTCCTGCTGGATTTCCTGCTGTTTTATAACCTTCCCTGGTGGTTTCCTGAGTGCTAATGCTGAGCTCCCACTTAGACGTTTATGTTTCCTGCTGTGTCTCCTTCTCCTTACCTTGTTCCTTTCCGGAACCCAGGCTAGCTATTGCCAATCACTACATGGCGTGCTACATCATTAAAAATGTGAAGCCTTATGAGACTCCACAATGAAAAGAGCTAACACAAGATGTTCCTATAAACTGCCCATTACAACAGATGGACAAATTATGACACTGATATTTTGTTACTTATTCAGATCAGCTAATTAATTTATCTTTGAGTATCTAGTAATTCCATAGGTCATAAAGACATGGGGCTCATATTTCATGTATAAATTTATATGATCTTCTCTTAGAGATTATTCTGTAGTAATTACATAATAGCAATTATTTTGTAGTAATTGCTAGGTAGTAATCATTTTGTAGTAATTACTAGATAGTAATTATTTTGTAGTGATTACTAAATAGTAATTGTTTTATAGTAATTACTAAACAATAAATTAGTACTAAATTACTATATAGATAAAAGTGAACAAAATGTACATTTTAAGTACTTAATTACCAAATAATTATTTTTATAATATAATATTAATTTAGGTTGTCATTTTAGGTTTATCTGAATAAGAGATATGAAAATTAAATGTTTAGTTTCATCAGTATAAACAATATT